TTATTGTTGAAAGTGGGATCAGTCTTTTATATTTTGATGAGTAATGATGTGTAATGAGGCAACTTTATGTGATGGGGTATGTGAGGATTAACGTATGATATACCAGGAGCATGACATAACACCATTTCAATTAGCTACCGAAGATTTACCCCTCCCAATATTACCACACGGAGCAATTACCTCCTAGTCAATTAGGCTTAGGGATAGGGAATAGGGAAGGAGAAAGGGATAAGATTAGGGTTAGGGATAAGGATAGTTATAGAGATTAGGATAGGCATAAGCATAAGCATAGGCATAGGCATAGACATAAGGTAGGGGTATGGGTATGGGAATGGGAATGGATAGGGATAGGGATAGGGTTAGACCTGATAGAACACATACTGTAATTGCGTTTCATGAAAATTTGGATTTTATTACTGTTTATTAGAATTTTGATACACTTTATGTGATTTCCATAATTTATTTGATGTGACAAACTATAATGCAGCTATGGTATGTTTATGTTTTATTCTTTAACATTAAACGTGCTTTAGATTGGGTTAAATTAAAGTATTCTATTTTCGTTTCGCATAATGTGCACGGTCACTACATCTATAAAAACAAGCTTTATGACTTGGTGGTATCGCTCACTGACTAGACGAATGTAATACAGGTAAAGCTGCAGTCGTTGTTTTCAGTCTGCTTAACCATTGATATATACATGGTCTACATCATTATATTAGCTATAACAGTTTTAATCCTAACCTTTTAATCCATCCTCTTCTACACTTTAACAATTTAAACCAAATCCAGATTAGCCCGTTTGAGTCTCTCCCTACATTATACAAATAGGTTTGCACAGTTCATCAAAATGTCGCACATTTCTAAAGTAGCTGTCAATGTAAGCATTGGAGCGGAAAATTGACGACGTTCAATCTTAGTGACAGCTTGCAAAGAGAAATAACACCACCGATATATTCGTCATCTAGTTGTAAACAACATTTTTTTTTAAATTTATGTTTGTATGTTTGTATTTTAAAACAACTTTATATCAGTGTTAAAATGTCACTCACTAGTAATTAGTAGGTGCCTTAGTTCAGGCAATAAACGAAAACCGTTTTTTTATCGATTTTGTGAAAGAAATCTATTTAAATTTACAAATCTGTTAAAATGAATATGTTGCTATTTGCGTAAACGTTTCTACAAAAAATACACAGAAGAAATGTATGACTACTTGCTTGTGTTATTGGAAGAAAAAAATAAAGTCTTAGAAAAAAATAAAAAAAAATAAAAAAAAAATACGGCAATAAAAGACCTTTAGGTGGGTTATGAATGCTTTTCTTTTCACACGGCACCAAATATTGGAACCAATTAGAACTTCAAATTGGCGTCCGTCTAGTTGTCTATTGTCAGATAAAATCTTCTTTATTGTAACCCTCTAACCTCATTGAGTATTCAGTAGCCACTTTAAATTTTACTGAGGGATGCGTAATAGTGAAGTGGGCGGAGGGGAGGTAGTGGGGAGGGAGGTAAGCAAACGATCTCAAAGATGTTGGAATTACATTTTTTAATGTCATAACTTCCTGGAGTTTTGCAATATTGAAGAAACTTCTTTCAATTATAAGTTTTATTCCCCGTTAGGTTAAAATGTCTGTTATATTTAGATGGTTAATTTACTACCAGAATGCCCAAACACACTGTGGCGTGGCATTGGAGCTATGGACGAAACGGTAGGAAGGTGAAATATAACATGAGAACTTAATCATCAAGTGCTAGAACTGAAGCAGTGTCTCAGACATTAATCATCGAAGTCTAGAACTGAAGAAATTTGTGACGTTCATCTTTAAGGGTTTGTTGAGAAATCTTAGAAGATGATTATCTTCTGGTTTCATAAAGTTTGAAAACAACTGCACTTCTAAAAAAAATAATATTTCAGCCATTGCTTTTGCGACATAGCCTACATTCACAGACCAACCCAGTTAACACACACACACACACACACACACACACACATACTATATGTATATATATATTTACATATAGTATGTGTGTGTGTATATATATATATATATAGGCCTATATATATTTATATATATATATATATATATATATATATATATATATATATATATATATATAGTGTGTGTGTGTGTGTGTGTGTTTAGTGCTTCATATGATTTATCAATATTAAATAGCATAGGTCAGCTAATTTTTTAAAGTGATTAGACGTCTATATATCATTCATTTCCAGCAACTGTACTTTAAACTCGGATATATCTAAGACATTCGTTCAGACATCGATTGTATCGTTTGTGGGTTGAGGTAAGAACTATACCACTGTTTAGCCCACTAACTTAACCCCCATAACTCTGGCCCCACCATTCTCTATCACCCGTCCTGGGCAGCTTCGTGAGGGCCGGTCAATGCCCACACACAAAAAAGTCAATACTCCGCATGAACCCTACATCCGGTCAGGGCGCTACGACATCCGGTTACGATTGTTGACGTTTGGGCGTGAACT